CTCAAAAAATATATGATATCTACATAAAAATGACTAGTATTTAATTATTGCACCATAGCCTCTTTGGAACATAGAGTGTTTATTCACAAATGCACGTCCAATTGATTTATCAAATTCATTGCCTCCGCAAAGGTTACAGCGTAGATTCCTTCGATGTCCTGGTTAAATTTCCTTTATTGATATTCTGTTATATTGTAGTTTACTGTTTGTGTATGATTACCGCAGTGACAAGTTGAGCTATTTTTGTAATAACTGACATTTATGCACTTTATATATATACATTACTATTGGGTAGTTTAACGTTTCAAAGATTTTTTTTACGAAATTGATGGTCCACACTACTAAAAAAGTTGGGAACCGCTGTTTTAGGGAGTACGAACATTTTTATTAAATGTAAATGGTTTTATCTGTATCGTCATTAATATTTAATATCATAGTTTAAGATTCAGATGTCATAAAAAATTTGTAACCTTTGAATTTTAAAAATCATCTCTCTTTCCCGTTATTGTGGTCTTGATGCACACCAATTTAAAATAAACGTTGATGTACTATTTTTTCTATAATAAAAACACTTTTTGATGCAATAAAAACCTGATATTATATAACTGTTTATTAAAATCTATTGATTACATTGAATACTCTATATATATCTCCCTATATACATATATACAGCATATTTATAATATCAATGGTTTATATTTATCTAAATTTTTGTAGATCTGAGCTGGTCCCTTCAAATCGATTTTCTAATGGTCTTCATAGTTCATATTTATAAATGGTTACGGCTGTGTAGGTATATATTCGTAAGAAGACTTTACACGCACGCGAACGTTTACGAGCACGTTATGTTATACTTTAGGCCTATAATGACAGGCTTGTATATAGTATTATGTATACGTCCGATGCATGTTCCGAGATTGTAAACAGATTTTTTTCCACGGACTTCAGCCTAGTGAAAAAAAAAAAATAATAATAAAAATCAGGTAGAGAAAAACGTTACCAGATGTGATTTTTTTTTTCTTTTCGAGGGTCGTTTTGATTATGCCGTACGTCCATACACAAATGCAGTTGTGTACAGTGTGTAGATAGGTTATACCGGCTATACTCGCATGCGTTTTCTTCCTTTCGACCATATACCAAATAATATTATGTTGAAATGTAATATAAACTACTGGCAGGTACTCTAATCAATCGATTTAAATGATTGCATTTTTCATAAGGTAGGTACGTAAAATAATTTTGCCTTGAAATAATAAAATGAAACCTTTCCGAAATTCGACCCCGTCTGTATTCGTCAGTGGCATGGCGAATATGGATCTGAAACAGGCAATTTCCCGTGTCAAATTTTGAATTACTGGGGGTATCACTAGCTGCTAGGGCCTAGTGCCAATATTTTTTACTCAACGTTCCTGTATTTTTTTGTGCCATAGATTATTATCAGGTAAACTAGGGCAGGTACCAATTCTCCAGTTATTACATACTTGTAAAAATGAAGATGTTTTATTAAATATAAATAGAGAAACATTATCAATTTTTAAGGGTAGACGGGTTCCAAAAATTCATGTTTTCCCCTTAAAAATAAGCCTGTCGCTAAATATTTTTGTCACCACTATACAGTTTGCCTACAACTTAATAATTTACACTGAATACTGGTATAGAATGTTTTTAAAACTAACAGAATCTGCTTATTTTTCGTGCCAGTTAGAGTTGGTTATAAATTTGCATTAAAATAAAAGGGGAGTTGAAACCCATTACTTACATCTGTGAATATGAATCCACTCCCCTTCAGAACTATTATATATATATACCAATACTTCGATTGGATCGTTTACAAGTATTATAAACTATGATACACTAAAATAAACGCAGGCTAATCATTTTAACTCAATAATTATGTAACTGATTTTTTTATAGACCCTATATCAGAGTCGTCTCTACACAAGAAAGAGCCCCGGTGCAGTAAGTGTATTAAGCTTCTTAACTAATACAGTATACATAGAGGTGGAACTAGGAATTTTTACATCCCATTACGAACCAATAATCAAATACTCTTCTTGATAATTTTTTTTTAATAATTAATGTGATACAATTATACTTATTGAGTTTTAACCTAATATCAGTATTTAATAAAGTTAAAAATATCAAATTAGTTTTTAATGATTACAAAAATTACACCCTCTAAAATTTTACGCCCGGGGATGAATGCCCATCTTCCACCCCTAGTTCAGCCCCTGGTTATGCGCGTCATATTGTTCTTATTAATGTGAATACTTATTACGAAAAGATACCTAAATGAAATTAACAATATATAATAAACACCCATACAAAGTAAAAAGGAAATTCAATTTATTACTATAAAAAAATATTGCATGAATTATTTTCTATATTAATACTGATTGTAAATGGAATTTTCACGTACCTATGATTTGCGAATTTACTGTTAAATACATCAACATTGTCAATTATTTTAAGGAGGTATGCTCTCAGAAATGTCCAAGAACCCTCAAAACACTGCCCCATTTTAATTATAACTTCACCATTGCCCTATAGTAAAGGGTGTACGCGTGATTTTTTTCAGTATTTAATGTTGATAAGTACCATACATATAAAACCCCTTTTGGTGCAATAAAAACTCTTCAAAAATCTGATATTATATAATATCTGAATTCGTTGGAATAAAAAAAAAATAGTAAAACAAATGCCAAATGTGTATCAAACTGTGTGTATGCCATAAGCTCTGAAAAATTATTTTTTTTTTGAATCATATCAATAATTTGAAAATCATTGAATTTAGAATGTTTAGTCGTATCTCGTAAAGACGCTAGAACACAGAAATCCAAGGTTTCTCTGCCTTATATTACTAATTTGAGATAATTATATTTTAATTTATTTATTGTTTAGAATATTTATTAATTTTTTAATAAATTAAGATCTTTTAAGATATTATTAAAATATTGTAGTTTTTAAATAATGTTGTTTCAATTGTTTATGCAGCAGCCCGGCTAGCTCAGTCGGTAGAGCACGAGACTCTTAATCTCGGGGTCGTGGGTTCGAGCCCCACGTTGGGCGATAATAAAATTTTGCCGCTGATTTTCTTCTTAAACTAATTAAATTTAGATAGCTTGTTTCTCAATCATCATCATAATATTAATTGAACTTAATCAACTATTTTAAAATTAGATAATTTTCAATATTCGCTACTTATTTTTAATCTGTGCATGTATGATAAACGTTGATGTAATAGTTGTACCTAATTCATGGTTATATATTTTTCGAATCAAACAAGCGAATAAAGCTGTGAAATGTAAAAACACAATAAAAACATTGCTACTTGCCCTAAGATGTCTCTGATATAACAAAATAAAATTATACGTAAACAATTTTTACTTAAAACAAATTTATATTATTAATCAATTGGAATCGTTCTTAGGGTTACACAAATTATCGTTTTTAAACAACGAAAAAATAAATAAATATAAAAAAAAATTGTCATCACTATATGTTGATTCATTGTTGATCCCATAGTAAAATACCGAAGTCGAATATGTAACCCAGGGATTCTCAAACTTTTATAAACATTGTATCCCTTTTTACCAATAAACTTTTTATGTACCCCTCCTTAGCTAATAAACTAAAATATATATAAAAAATTTATAGACTTACACACATAATGCAAAATAAAAAATAAAAAGACCATCTCTATGGTTATTTTTACTGATTATATTTATAAACAATACGGCTTATGGCGGAGGGGCATGACCCATTCCCCCAAAAGCTACGGCACTGCATAGTTAAATGAAAAATGTTGCAACCGGCACGTATATACTTTTATAATGATAACTAATAAAAACATCTATTATATTTTATTAAATTAGCTTATTAATTATGACACTTGGATGTTTACCGCCATAATTAAATAACAAATTGATAAAATTAAAAGAATAATAATAATGAAATATAATTAGGTGTTTTTGTAAAACGAGAATAGTCCTATAAAAAGTTTATAGCATTGTTGAACGTAGTACAAATCAAACAAGACAAATCAAACAAATGTTGGACAGTCCTGCCCAATGTAGTACGATTGACAATCCTAGCATAGCTTAATGTCGTGTCAATATAATATTAATATATTCGACTGTGTACTTGGTATAGCAGCAGACGCGTTTAATCAATGATAAATAAACGGTTAGTTACGGTATCGTTTTAAAATTCGCAAATGTTAACTTGAATTTTGGAGTTTTTTCTACTATTTAAATTTAAAAGTTTGTTGGCCAGACTCGTACCCCTTAAAAAATGTCGAGTCACTCCAAAGGGTACGCGTACCACAGTTTGAGAACCACTGATGTAACCAATTACAAATTAAAATATAATTGTTGGTACAAAAACTGTGTCGCTCAACGTAGAGAACGATTATGAGTCTCGTGCTCTACCGACTGAGCGAGCCGGGTACAAATAAAGTTTATGGTATTAAATGTAAAATGCGTTTAAGTATACAATTATAGAACATTATTTTTATCAACACATTTCACAGCTTTATTCGCTTATTTGATCTAATTTTAGAAGCGTAATTTACTATTTATCCGTGGGGTGAATAATACATAATCCAACTTATAATACTATACAGTTACAAAACACAGGGTCCCATACATTCAACCACTTCTTAGTAAATATTTAGTGCAGGGGTGGCAAATTATTTTGACGCTAAGTGCCAAAAATTACATTTTTTTTCTCCGAGCATTAATATCCAATAATAAATTATGAATATTCGGTTAAATTAAATCATAGGTTCTCATCCTTTTTTGGGTCATGGACCCTTTTCAAATGAAAAGTATAACCACGAATCCCTCCCCCAGAAAATCCTGATGACATTATTGATGATTTCAAAAATTCGACTTAACGTAGAATCATGATCAATTATAATTTATTTTGTTTTTTCGTTGGAGTATATGATTGAGTATATTTTTGTTAATTTACGGTATGTCCTACGTGAACGCGGCGAACGCGAATTTGCGAATGATGCGAACGAATTCGCGTTGGCCGCATTCGCCGCTCGCAATCGTGTCCTACCTATTTGCGGCGAACGCGAATTTGCGGCTGACAATATTCCGATATTTTTTGTTTTTTGACGTTCAGTCGTACAGTGTGTTTTGAAGTGTAATGTGCGGTATATGTGTTTATATTCAGCTCTTTTATATTTTTCATTCTTAACTTTTTGTTAAAGACTAAGTCAACTAAAAATGTCATCGAATTTACAAAAACAATTATTTTTATTCGAAAGTACTACACTAAAATATTTACTGTATAAAAAATATTTAAAAAAAAGAAGATCAGTTGTAAATTCAATTATTTATAAAGATAGACTTGTTTTTGGTGAATTCTTTCACCTATACCCACAGTTGCGAAAAAATGAAACTTCATTTCGATCTTATACTAGAATGACTACCGATACATTTGATTATATTTTAAAACTAATATCACCGGAATTTGATCTCAAGACCACAAATTTCCAAGAACCTATTTCCGTAGAGCAGAGGTTACTTGTAACAATAAGGTAAGTAAAATAAAAAAGCATATATTAATATAATAATTAAAAATTTATTAAAAAAATGTATTAATAAAAAATAAATAAAAACCTTTGTATTTTGAAAACAAAATAGAAGTTCTTAAAAGTAAATTTTCCTTTGATTTAAAATGTTTTCTTTTTTTTAATTTTGATGTTGTTGTTACTCAGTACTGTTGGTAACCAATGAAAGTTGGATTATCTGACGAATTTGTGGTAATCTGTTCTTGAATATGTTGAGGAATGTAGAGTTCATGTATTGGTGCAGGTGGGACGTTTGAATTTTGATGTTGCTGATGCTTTATTGACAATTGGTTAATGAGTACAGTTTGAATTTCGTTTCTTACTCGTAATTTTTGTAAATTATCCATGTTTTTTAAATATGGATGAAGTGATTTCAAGAACATCATGTCTTCATCATCCTGCACTTGTGGTTTATTAGATTCAAGTAACGCGTTAATTTTTTGTGTTTCCAATTTTAATAATTCACTTTCAAAACTTTTATTTTCTTGCTTTTTTTTTCTTTTGATTGAAGAAGTCTTAGAAGAGGTATCTGAATCATTGGAAATACTTGTTGAAATATTAACATGCGACAAATTTGAAGTACTTGGAATGGTAAAACATTCTGATTGTGTGACAGAAACTGGATTTTCAGGACTTTGAATATTATCTTCAATATCAATAAAACTACTCGAAAATGAATTAACTTCTTCCGAATCTGAAAGGTCAGACATTTGTAATTGCGTTTCGTTTTCATCAGATACATTTCCCTCGGTGGTTCTAGGAGTGGTTGTGTCTTTTAAAAAATGCAATAAATGATAATAGACCCATTTACCAGTATACACCTCTGCATTATCTTGAGAGTCTCCCGAACGGCTCTTTTTTACTTTTTTCTTTTCTTTTAAATACGTGTCTCTTATATTTTTCCATTTCCGTTTTACGTCTTCTCCTGTGAATCAATTTTTATTTGTAACTAAATTTGTGAAAATGTATTTTTTTTAGGTATTTAGCAACAGGACTAGCATTCAGGCAAATCGCAATGTCATTTAGAATATCTAAGTCCGCAGTCTCAAGCATTGTTATTGAAGTGTGTAAAGTAATATGGAATACGTTAAAATTCAAACACATGTCTACTCCAAGCGTCGATACTTTTAAAAGCACAGCAATAGAATTTCATGAAAAATGGAATTTTCCAAACTGTGTGGGAAGTATCGACGGCAAACACATCAGACTGCGATGCCCTCAAAATTCCGGGAGTATGTATTTTAATTATAAACAATATCACTCGATTGTTCTAATGGCAGTAGCTGACGCGAGTTATAGATTTTTGATGATAGACGTGGGTGGATACGGGAAAGATAGCGATGGTGGTGTTATGGTAAATTCTAAATTTTACCAACGTATCGAAAACGGTTCGCTTAAACTACCGAATGAAATAAAATTACCAAATTCGAACGTCTTGGCTCCTTTTGTGTTTATAGGAGATGAAGCTTTTCCATTGAGAAATTACTTAATGAGGCCTTTTCCAAGAAAACAGTGTCAAGAAAACGAAAAACAGTATTACAACTATAGACATGCGCGAGCACGAATGACAATCGAGTGTGCATTCGGCATAGCTTCATCAAAGTTTCGAATTCTATTAAAATCAATAGAAACAAAAGTAGAAAACGCGGATCATATTGTAAAGGCTATTTGTATTTTACACAATACAATAATAGATTTGGAAAAAAAATCATCAACACAACATTACGCCCTAGACGATTACGAAACAGACATATCGAAGGGCCATAATCAAATGATATCGCTGAATTACAAAGGCAGAGCCAACAATCGAGCGTCAAGTACCGCAATTAATATAAGAAATAGATTTGTGAAGTATTTTAAAGATAATAAAATTTAAAAATAATTTTCTACAAACATTAATATCGCAATCCTCACGGGACACCCTGTATTTTATAATCATTTCCAAGTATGTTAATACATATTTTGTCACTATACTATTCCAATAATTATAATTTTTTTAAATAATAAAATAAAATTGATACTTATTATAACAAATGTTGTGAAAAAATTTTTTTTTCGGGATCTGCATGCCAAATTAATTACGAAATTTATTTCATATCTGTATGTTTAAATGTTTTTATACTATTCAAACTATTTTGAACTATTAATATAATATAATAATTATTTAACAGACTTACTATTCATATGTACTGTTCTGGCAACAGCTTCCCATTCTTTCTCAGACATCAATCTGTCCCTATACTTTTTATTAAACTTATTCCAGAGAACATTTCTTTTTTGTACCTCGGATATAAGGAGCTCCATATTGACCATGGTTAAAAAGTTAAAACAAAGTTAAAACATCCGCTTTGATATACGTCTAGTCGCTTCAACGCGCGACCAAAAACAAAACGATTTGATTTTCAAACCTTGCGGCGAACGCGAACGAATGAATTCGTTCGCGTCGCCCGTGTTTATCGCGTACGATGGACAATCTAATCTATTTTTATATATTTGATAATTTTTTTCGCCGCGTCGCTCGCACCGCAACGCGTTTACCGCGTTCGCCGCGTTCACGTAGGACATAGCGTTACACTGATTAAATATAATACCCAAACCATTTGAAGTGTTGTACATTTAATTTGTTTTCTCTCCATTTATTTTAAATTGTACTGATGAAGACAATAATTAAACAATAAATGGATGGCCATTGAGGAGGAGTCATTATTTTTAAGAAGAAAATTTTAATTTTAAATTAAACAATTTTTTATACGTTTGTGTGTATACTTTTACCAGCATTTTGAACGCTTAAGATAACATACATTTGGGGGGGGGGGTGGGAGGGGGGGGGGGGGGGCAGGTGTTGGATTCCCTCAGGGGGGGGGGGGGGGTGAAAGGGAAGTGGTAGTGACAGTCTTTGGCATACCCTAAAAAAGAGGTCTGTGCACGCCTGCGTTTATCACCAAACCGTACGGATTATATTATGCATATTATTCTTGCGGACGCAACTCGGAACAGTCACCGGAATACCGTGCCGTGCAAAAACCGCGGACGCGAATCGATTATCACGACGTATATTTTCGTTTTTTTAGGAACGCAATGGTATTGCAACCGTAATGTTACCAGTTGGCGTCTTATTCTCCGACGTTTAATCCGATCGCGTCCCGTTGATTTAACAAATGATCGCTAATTCCTTAGAACGACTCGCTTTGATAAAAAAAAAAAAATAGATAATGAAAAAACAACATCACGCGCGCGTACAAAACGCGTTTAAATATAATAACGTTGTTGCGTGCGCTTCCTCTAATGGATCGCACGTGGGTCAGGTACAATATCGTTTATTTTTTTTTTCTTTTAATGCACTCGATCGACGTCGGTCGAACATAAATAAAAGTACCTACGAAACGCAGCCATCGCGACGAGTGGTTTGATCGTTCGCCTTGATTCTTTTTTTTTTTTTTCTCGATTTTTTCACATTTCAGCACTTCTCTCGGTATTTAACGCCATCATACCTGTGTACTATTACTCGTTCCGTGGTACGACGTATACATCGCAACACGTGTTTCCCGTGCCACCAGTACAGTATATATTTAATACGTGTTAATAATATTGCTTTCGACATCCCGCACACGCTGCATAATCTCTTGCGGGTTGCCTCGCGTCCAACATTTAATTCTTCTTACTATTATTATTATTCGTGTTTTAGTCGTGTAATTATTGTTGTTCGAGTCGTATACATGCGCTCAATTGCCGGCGGCCAGTCGTATAGGTAATGTATTGCGCGCGCGCGTATACTGCATTTGTGCTCTCAGCAATCCAAATAAACCCATTATGTCCGTGCACCGATTTGATATCGAACTCTTCAGTACCTGTATGCGATGTAGATAATATTTACGCGTATTCGATAGGTTTTCGCGTCGTCGTGGTCGGCATAATGCGATGCTCTTGCCAACGAGACATGTGCCTCGGCAAACAGTGACGTTGCTAGAAATAATCGAAGGCGCGAACAAAATATAACTTACAAACTAAATGTAGACCACGCTTTGTTCGAAACATTTTTATTTCAATACATATCGCAAAGGTAATTGAACGCATAAAACAAATTAAGTGGTATCATTTATTATATTGACCGATGATCGTCATCTACGACAATTGTAGTTTTGTGATTTTTTTTGTGATCAATAAAATACATAGTGATTTTCGATGCTCTTTTGATTTGTTGTTTTTAAAATTGTCTATCAATCAATATAAATGTCGAAACACGTAGGAAAAAAGACCGAACAAATTAAAAACGTATTTATTACTAGTCCTCTCTACTGCTTAACGCGCCTTAATAACTGGATTACATTTGATCGAATTTCCTGACAAATTGAAGGATAACATTAAACTAATTGATGGTCTTATTATCTTCTATATATTTTACTCAACATTTACGAAGGAATTGTATGAAATTATGTTCATTATTTGTGATAGGTCGTTGTCGTAACAATATATTTAAACCATTGGTTTGAGAAGCATAAAGTATTATCTTCTAGATACATTTTATAAATATTCTGAAGTTATAATGAAAAACACGACAAACGATAACATGATCTGATTATATATATTTTTAACTCTTAATAAACTCTGAGTTCTCTTGGAAATTTTTTAATTATAGATTAAATACAATTGTTTCTTGTCACTCGTGTTCCTTTGTTTCTTTTCATTTACCTAAATCCATTTTGATAATTGTCCATCCATTAAAAATCTAATACAGCGCTTACAATGAAGCTTTTATGTGTTTTAAAAATGTATATTTAATTATCTATACATTTAGTTTATTTATTCATACACATTCGGTATCGATCAGGTACATGTGTTTTTGTAAAAAGGGTTCAGCCCGTATAATACGCATAATACCATCGTCTGCTACCATTGTCAGTAGGTACTCAACTGTCTATCACATATATTGGATTTCATTACCATTTTAACGATGCATTGTGCTGTGTAGATTTTCCTAAAATAATGTTTGGTTTTTTCGTATAAACCGTGTTTAATCAAGCATATTATTTGTACCGAGAACATATTCCGAGGAAAAAATGTTTAGTTGTATATTATTTATGAATTACATTTTTGCCGTACGAATGTACCTAAACACGTTACTAAGTTGTAGACTTATATTTTGCGTTATTTATTTACTGTTGAACATTATTTGGTGCACGTTTCTAATGCTAGAACGTAAATATTTTAATTTGTTCATCAGAATCTTACACGAAGAGCGATTTAAATTATTGTAGTTAATGTCTTACATGAATACTATATTATGGTGTTTCCTATAGTTCCCATACGTAAAGTTCTCTTTGTATGTAAATCGTATGATTTATAATGATAAACTATACCGACATATACTGTTGTCCACACTTGAGTAGATACCGTCATCATCTTAGTCGTAAATTGTAGGTAAATCAAATGAACAGTCTTTGAGCGATCAGAAAGAAAAAATTATCACATAATTAATTGCACCCCATGAATTATTCATAAAAAACGCGTTTTCAAACAGTCTTAAAACATTCCGATATTATAATTGTATACATACAGATATAAGCGCCTATAACTGTTTCAGAAAGAAGGGAAAAAAAAGGAGTAGTAATATACGTTTTATCTTTTCCTTAGGTTTTTAGACAATACCAAATAGTTCAGGGCCATTAAAACAACATTAAACAAAACGTCGTCTCCTTAAGAATACAAATTGGTATTTTAATCATTTCAAATTAAACAAAAACCCTTATTCCAGCGTTTTTGTGTGTACTGTCATTTATATGGTGCTCGTTGTCAAATTATAATCTCGATGGATCTTAATACGTTCTTTTACTACTCTTTCACTCTTATACGTCGATAAAATCTGTTTTCGGAACCAATCCGTGAGTAGTTTTCTATATTGTTCACGTCGTGAAACAAAAAAAAAAGATTAAATGCGTGTATTATACATACAGTAGCATGGTTAATGGTTTACGGTTAGGTTATTTTCTAGTATAATAAAATTGAAATATAAAATATCGTATGTGTGTGTGTGTAAACGATATACGAATAAAATACAAAATACCTGACTACGTGAATAACATAGAATATATTACATTGTGATGAATAATATATTAGTGTAAATAAAATGTTGTAATAACAATAAAACTAAATCGCCCAATGTGGGGTTTCAACCCACGACCCCGAGATTAAGAGTCTTGTGCTTCATCGACTGAGCTGGCCGGCCTTATGCGACATAAAGTATCTTAGTGTTGATCTGATGTTATAATATTTTAATATATTTTTTAATGCGATATAATTTAATGTAACGTGCGTAAAAGTTCAAACGGTTCAAATCGATTTGATCGGTCTTTAAATTGTTTACTCTGCGTATTGGTTTGCGAATGCAATATTGAACGGATGAAGCTTAATATCATATATAATGTGCAATATAAATAATGAAATATTCCACGTTTTTCATTTATAAAACGCACTTGCTGTTTTACCAACACGACATACACCGAAACCAAATATTATATCCAATTTGTTTATATCCGTTTTAGTTATGCGAAATGTACGTAAAATAAAATTCGAAAAAAGTAAGAGTTAATTTTTAACATCCATACGATTACATATTTTTACTAAGACTATATTATATATATATTCAATATACACCGTCGTAAAAATGTAAATATAATATATGATACTTCGTACGCGGTGTAATAATATTGTAAATAAAAAATACTATAGGAATATATGCAATCCGGTCGTTTTCTTTTGCATTTTAGGGTCATAAATTAACGGATTATTTCTTCATCAGACGTACAATCTTACGTATATCTTTTTAAAAATAGATTTTACCGTTTATATTTATTTAAATATGGATGCTAAAAATAAATATATTGGACGAGTTGTTCTTTAATTAAAAAAAAAAAAAATCTATACTTAAATGAAAAAGTAATATCTAACGGATTCTCCGTGAATACTGATTAGTTTTAGGCTATAATTTATAGTATTGGCAATCGGGTATAACGTAGTAGGAGGAGGAGATTATTTTTAATCTATAGATATGTTAGATTTTTTGTCACATCAATGATTTAACGCATCATTTTATTCATTGGGAAATAATTTAATTTGCAATAAAAATCTGCACCAAACAAGTTTTTGAAATCGCTTCACGTCGGTGTCGTAAATAGTTAAAAACTATGTAAGGGACTTTTTTGAGGGTTAAACATTAGATTTAATTATATTTTATTTTATATTCTTTATACCAATTATTATTATTATTATTATTATTATTTTATTACCTTCAAAAAATCTTTATGCGATGTACTCTAGATTATCCGAGATTCTCTGCGGGACAAACCATCAAAAAATAAAAATAAATAATGTTTATTTACTTATGTATACATCATTGCGGTTCCATAAATCAGTCTGATTGATTTGCGATCACAAGAACACGGGTTATACGTTAGGCCTGGCACACGCGCTTTTCTTGTGGAAAGGGTTGGCCCGATTTATGGGTAATAATCTCAAA